GCTTTTTCATCTAAGTCTGTTCATCTAATTGTTCAGTCTTTTCTCGAAGTAAATAAATAACTTTTTAAAGGCTAGATAAGGCTATATAAAGAACTTATTTAAGTCCGATCCGAGCCGTTGCCATTTTGGCGGTTCCGATAGCTTTAGTCACCAATCCTCGTTTACGAATTCAGTGTCGTAAATTACGATAAATACACAGAGAAGATGCTTATTTGTGGTCATTTTTGGCTTAGTTTTACTTCTTCATCATGTTCGACTATGTTGTTGGTTATGTTGAACACTTGGGGATGTTTACACTTAGTTGTCTATTAAGCCTAATAGACGCTTGACAACAAGCCTAATATTCCCATTTCTTTTGCGCGAAATAATTAAACGGCAAGTCTGTATTTTTGTCGCTATTTGATAAAATGTATCGCGTTACAACTTCATTTAAAACAGTGTGATAATTTTGACGAAAAGACGTGATATTGGACAAATGGACCTTAGACTGTAGACGAAAAGACTTAGACGAAAAGACTCTTGGACGAAAAGACCGGATACCATGTCAATCGGTCAGATTTTTTAAGAAAACTTGGCTTACTAGACAAGATCTTTAATAAAAAAAATTATTTTTATTTGCTATAAAGTTTATAACGATCTTAAGGCGAATAAAGCAAAGTGAATATCGCCAATGGGCAAAAAAGCTGTAGACGCGAACGAGTTATTGTGTGACAACCACAGCAACCACGCGGAACCACATCTTTTTTTTTAACTTTAAAGAATTATTCATGATCGAGAACGTTCGATTTACGATAAGATTTCACGTATTATAAAGATCAGGTAAACTCACTGAACAATTCCTTGAACTTTTTGGCCGGACTTTGAACTTTTTTGCACCTTAAAGATGTGAAATTTTCATTTTATCCTATTGTTTTGATTGTACGCGGTTATTTTGACCGAACACACAATGTCACTTGCAGGGTTTGAATACTAAGTCAATCATTTTTGCACATGATGCGCGCGCTTTAATTTCTTCGGCATACTGATTATGATAAGCTACTCCGTATTTTTTCATGTACGTTATTAATACATAATCACATAATTTTTCTCGTGCAATTTGGAATAAACAAGCACTTGTAAATTTTTACAAAGACCACAAATTGCACAAACCAGTATGTGATGCTGAACCCCCCAACAGCCAAACAATAATATTGGTATTCCTCTTATTGTTCTCTCTATACACTTCTTATGAGAAATTATTTATTTGTTTGTTTGTTTTTTTTTTTAATTAAGATCTTCTTAAGTTGGCAATTATTTTCTTTATCCTCAAGACTTTAATGTTTGACCCAGCAGTGATTCTATTGGCATACAAACCTCGCAAACTTTAAAACACGTCCTCTAGTGATACCTGCGAAAGTATTCAGTAAATTTCCGGTAAGATTTTCGCGGACAATCTGATCGATTTCTCTTACATTGTGTGCCGAGACTGAAACTTTTCACCTCAAGCAAATCTCCGTCGTACGGTCCAAACAAACATAGCGAGCAACTGAGCCACCAGTGTATGTCCGTGTTAAAACACACGAAAGGACTCTAAAGCACACTTCACTCTGATTGGGCAGAAAAACACAAAGATTTTCTGGCACCAATCAGATGGTAGAACGACTGCGACCGTTTGGAACTAGTCTTGTAAGACAACGTCCCCGGGGGCTCTTCATGCCCTAACTTGAAATCGACTCGGCACCTGGGTCTCCGAGGATGGGCTATAATGTGATTGGAAAGCATATGTCGTGCTTGCGTTTTTATAGACGCGGACCTCAAAGTATAAGGTTTATTATGTTACTGACATAAGCAAGAATTATCTTTTAAAGGGAGTAGAGGTCTTGAGCACCTCAGGTCACCTACTTTAAGTTACATCTATTCCCCCGCCCTTACATGTTGGTTCTTATTCTGCTGTTATCTTTCTGATAGCTATTGACATCGGTGGAGAAGGAAAAGTTGGTGCATCTCCCTTACATTATGCTGCAAGATTCAGGGAGTCTACCAGTAGACAAGTGTCAGAAGCTGTTGCTGGTGGCGAAAATGGAACAGTTACTGATGGGGAAGTGAATAATAATGTACGTGTTGTAGCTGGACCTTTGACATATGCCATCAGTTCCAAAAGTCTTCTTGGAGAAGTGAATCAAGCTATGTCTCTGGTCTGAAATGCATATGTCTGAGAAACAGACTCAATATTTGTCCTCAGAGATCAGAATTTACCCTGAGTTTTTTATTGTTTCTTCATTGTCAAAGTGTTTTGGGGAATGGCTACTCTCAACTGTCTACTATTCAGTGCAAGTGTTATTTACATGTGTTTTTAAAATTGTTTACAACCCATAGATAGGAGGGCCGGGAGGGCATGCTAATTACATGTACTTTTGCCACTCATTGTAGTTTAATTTCAACTTCCAAGTGTTTTAAATTTTTCACTTAACAGACCCTTCACACTAATCAATTTCAAACCAAACTCCATTTTGAGATCATTTCAAGTTGACATTCATGTTTGACTGCAACATATAGATATATATAAACGTAAAAAACCTTATCCTCGAATCGGAGAGTGCTCTACAATCACCTGCACCTGACGAGAGAGGACTTTTTAACCCTTTCGAAACAGATCTGTAGTGCGAAGTTTCTATTTTTATTTTCCTAGACAATTGTTTATATATATATATATTTATCTTATTAGACGTTTCCA